TTGAATGACAGTGAAAATAGTGTATATTTTAAATGGTGCAATAGAGTGGAAACAAGTATTTGATAAAATATATAAACTTAATTATTTATATTAGCAAAGAAGAAAGGCTAACTATTAATAAAACACCCAGTTTTGAAAAAGAATGAGGGAATTAACTCAAAGAAGGCAAAATAAAGAAATTAATAAAAGAGCAAAAATTAATAAAATTAGAAGACAGATAAGGCATGGAAAACAAGAAGTGAACAAACACATGGCAAGACACTTAAATTGGTTAGTAATAAAAAATGAAAATCAAGACTATATTTCACATATATAATATTTACAGTGAAAAAGTCTGGTAATGTCATGAAATGTTAGAAAGATGACAGCCCATTTATATTGCTGGTTCAACCTTCTAGGAAAGCAATTTTATATTCATTTTAAAGCTGAACACTGACTATGCTATGACCCAGTAATTCTGCTCTGAGGCTTGTTGCCTAGAGAAATTCTTGCAACTGTGCATCTAGAAAACTGAAGGAACAGTACACTAATATTATATTAGGAAAAATGAAATAATCTAAATGTCCATCTAATGGAGAACAGATCTTTTAAAATGGAATATTTACACAGTGGAATACTACATGAGCAGTGAAAGAAAGTGAGCCACACCTACATGGACCAACATGGACAACTCTTTAAAACAATGTTGGGTAAAATATCAACATTAAAAATGAAGCCTTACATGGTAAAAACATTTCATAAAATGTAGAGGGAATAATAAATTCAACAATCAGGATTGTGTTAGCCTCTGGGGTCAAGGAGACTAACTAGGGTAGAGTCATAGGTAGCTTTAACAGGAAAGGTAATTCCAGATATTCAGTTGGGTTTGGGGTTAATGGCTGTTGTTTTATTATACTTTATAATTTATATTCACATACATTTTCTTGTTGGTATTAAATATTACATCACTAAGATTTTATTTTATTTTATTTTTTCCATTTATTTTTATTAGTTGGAGGCTAATTACTTTACAATATTGCAGTGGTTTTTGNTTGTGGTTTTGATTTGCATTTCTCTGATAATGAGTGATATTACATCACTAAGATTTTAAGTGAAATAATCCTGGAGAAAATTTGTTTATTATACTTATAAGAATCCCGAAACTTCCATTTATTTGCTGCATGACTGTGGAGAAGTAACTTTATTTTCAAATCTTATTTTCCTTATACATACATGGCAATGGGCTTCCCCAGTGGCTTAGCAGTAGAGAATCCACCTGCAATGTAGGAGATGCAGGAGACTTGGATTCAATCCACAGGTTGGGAAGATCCCCTGGAGGAGGAAATGGCAACCCACACCAGTATTCTTGCCTGGAAAATTCCATGGACAGACAGCCTGATGGGCTATGGTCTATGGGGTGCAAAGAGTCAAACAAGATTAAAGTGACCAAGCAACAGCAGCATACAAGGCAACAATAATACCTTCTTGGGTAGTTGTGAGGATTAAAATAGATTATGTTTATAAAGGGCTCGAAATTTACTTATATGTGAACTTATTAAAAAACAGGAACTGAAACTGTAACTCAAAAATCTGTTTTGGGGGGGACATGTGCATATTTCACCAATTTAAACTTCTGTAAGGACAGATGTTGAAGCTGAAACTCCAATACTTTGGCCACCTGATGAGAAGAGCTGACTCATTTGAAAAGACCCTGATGCTGGGAAAGACTGAGGGCAGGAGGAGAAGGGGATGACAGAAGATTAGATGGTTGGAGGGCATCACTGACTCAATGGACATGCGTTTGGGTAGACTCCAGGAGTTGGTGATGGACAGGGAGGCCTGGCATGCTGCAGTTCATGGGGGTGCAAAGAGTCGGACACGACTGAGCAACTGAACTGACTGACTGATACTATTATTTATAGCTCAATTATATTACACTGCTATTTTACTTGTGTCTCAAAAGGATTCTTTCTCTTTCAAATATTGTACTATTATCGTGTGCTGCAGTATTATTATTGAAAAGTTCCAGAACTAGTGACTTAATGAAACTGAAAAGAAAAATCCTTAACTTTTTAATATCTAAATTTTTCATTCAAAGCAATCCCCTACAGTTATCTTATTTTCTCCTTTTACCTTCATTTGCATTATGAAAGCTAAATAATATTAATAATGATAATAATAGTAGTAATAATAATTTGACTCCGTAAAGGAACAACCGTGTGTGTGTGCTCCGTTATCCACTTGTGTCCAACTCTTTGCAACACTATGGACTGCAGCCTGCCAGGCTCCTCTGTTCACGGGATTCTCCAGGCAAGGATACCAGAGTAGGTTGCCATTTCCTCCTCCAGGGGATCTTCCTGATCCAGAGATTGAACCAACACCTCCTGTGTCCCCTGCATTGGCGTGCAGATTCTTTCAACATTGAGCAACCTGGGAGGCTTCAAAGGAACATCTACTTTCTACCATTAAAGTTTATTCTTACTGCATAACATCTAAGACATGAGACTTTCATGTTTATTTCAGTTCTATGTTTTTAAAAAAGTTGTGTCATATTGCTATCACTCATGCTATCAGAATGTTTAAAGTTGGGAAGATAAAATCCAAGACATGGTTGTGGAAATGTTTCTAACATTTCTTAGCACAGAGATCCAGAGGGAAAAGCAAACCCCATAACTTAATCTGGAAGTGACAAGACACTGCTGGTTAGTCTTGACTTAACTTGGTTCTGATATAGCCCTACTCCTGAAAGACACTTTGAAATCTGTGTTGAATTTAGAAAGAATGAAGGAACACTGATGAATGTGGTATAAATTTTAAATCTCTCTGGGATAATCAACCTCATGTTAAGGCTTTTATTAGCATCCTCCAAACAGTGTTAGATATGAATCTATCAGTTCACAATTTATATATTTTTTCTTTATTTGTCTGATAGGGTAGGTTTGCATGTCTGTGTCTAAGAGCCACGCTTCAGTCAAAAAAACGATTTTGCTCATGAGGTTATGATAGAAACTGAACACATCAGTCTTATCTCTAGGATTCTTCCTCAGAACTGAGCTCTTAAATAACAATCTCAGTCTCCCAGGGGAGTGAGAGATCTAACCCAAAACCCTGACCTAAATAAATCTCCAGGGCTGAACTGAAGAATGGCAAGTTTAGGGAAGCTAAATTAGTATGCATGGATTTCCTTCCCCCCTTTTCAAAATGAATGCAGTGCTTCTTCGCACAGCTTTGTGACCCAAATTGTTCTATCCCAGTAGCTTTCATTCTATCACCAACCTCAAATCCTGAACTCAGAAAAGAAAGTTCTTTCATGCTGATTTTCATATCTTGTGGCTCCCACTGACAAAGCTTCATCCGGATATTCCACAATTAGGAGGAGGTAGGAGCCTCTACCTGAAAATTACGTGCATTGTGTGTGAAGAAGCAGGTCTACCGTGACCGAGGCTAAGGTTTAAACAGTGTTTGAGCGGACACCCTGTGACTGAGAAAAGGAGGCTGTCAGAGATGTAGAACCCAGTTTGGGTTTGTAGGCCACTAACAGCCACTCAGAAACTAAAGGGAGAAACTTCAACTAAATCCTGAGAGGGGTGTGTGTGTGTATGCAGGTGCATGTAACACACAAATGGGGCACACACATGCTGACATTTCCTCATAGAGGGCTTAAGAGGGTTTTTCCTAAAGACCTGTTAGCTTTTAGCCTTGATGCTTACTTCCCACTCTTTCAGAACAGCAAACACCCAGTTTGATCAGTAATAAGGTGAGTAATATATACTCTTTTAGGAAGCTGACTGGAAATCTCTCAGCAGAAACAAAGTACAGAAGGCACAATCTTATTCCTAAGTCTCCTGACAAAGCTTAACTCATGCAAACTTTCAAAACCTCTCTGTTTGCACTTCCTTGTCCGAATCCCACCCAAGAATCAAGCTCTCTTCCTAACTTCTTGTTCATATGTGAACCCTATTCTTTTTCTTTAATTTCCCTGAAATTCCAAAACAGTGCGACTAAGCTGCCCCATTATAGTCTAGGCATTAATAATCACCTCATTTTCTACTCCCAGAACTCATTCTGAACAGTCTCTTTCTTTCCTAGGGACAAACTATCGACTCAACTTCTCTTGCCTCCTACGCTTTATTGAGGCAAAGCCCTGCTTGCCATCACTTCATAAAAATCTCCATATTTGTCCTCTCTATCCTCCGTATTTGTCTACTCCTCACCTCATTCTATAATTTGATCTGGGTCCTTCTTCCCAGATCTATGCAGGTCCACCTACACCTTCAGCTCTCCCCAGACAAACACAGACAACATTAACATTTCCCAAGTACATTTTTACGGTGGGTGACTGTGTCCTGCATCTTCAGAAAGGCAAAGAGATCCTGTAAACTTGGCCAGCCTTCCCACCAGCTGGAAGAACATCTGTGCATAGGAAGGAACGAGATATAAACAAACTAGCATCCCGACTGGCTGGGGCTGGGATAAAGCAGGTGCCTATGAGACCAAAGGCTCCATTAATAGTCACCAGGGTCATCAGGCCTCGTGTTTGCTCTTGGTGTGGGAAAGCTTGCCTAAGTGAATTACTCACAGAGTCTGAAACTGAGACTCCATGCTGTTGGTAACCACAATACCTGTTTACAGAACTCTTCCGAAGGATGTAATAGGCATTTTCCAAGATCTGTCAGCTCTGGGCCAGGGTTAAATCAGCCATTTGCCTCTGAAGGGTGTAATACTGCCTGTAAAACCAACACCACCAAAATGTCTTTTACAGCCTGTGGTGTATACATGTATGCATGTGTGTGAATATATATTCCCCCGACCCTTTTAGAAGCTGAAGAGAAACATACAGGAAAGACAGGACTATGGTTGGGTCAGGAGAAGATCTTCTTTTATTACATGCACCATCTGTTTTCAACAACCATTATTTTGGCTAGAAAACATTTAATGAGTGCTTTCTTTTTTTTCCCCCTTCTTAAAATACTATATTTTTATTTATTTTTGGCCATGCTGCACAGTATGTGGAATCTCAGTTCTCCGGCCAGGAATTGAACCTGTGCCCCCTGCATTGGAAGCGCAGAGTTTTAACCACTGAACAACCAGAGAAGTCCCAGTGAGTGTTTTCTTTTAAAATTCATCTCACCCTAATCAAAGAATCATAACCAAAGAGAAGTGATGGAGAATAAGAATTGGAATGGTTTGCCCAGCAGGCCCAATGAGTCCTTTAAAGGTCATTTCTTTCTTCTAATTGCATTAGACAGTGATTGGAAGGATGGTCACTAATAAGGTTCCATCGTCTCTCCTGTTTTCTTTGTTGCCCATATCCTAATGACTCATCCTGTGGTACTTTACGAGGAGCCCTGGTGTGGAGCCCTGCTCATGCGGTTCGCGGGGACAGACGCAAGATTGTCAGACACAGGACTGGCTGTAAAGGAAAGGAGCCTGTGACGGTTTTAATATCCCGTGAGACAGAAGCATGACAGATTAGTGGGCAGCTCCTTCCTTCTCAGGAAGCCAGGCCTCTGGCTATAGCTTTGTCTTAGCTTAGTCTCAGATCTTTATAAACACTTTCCTCCTGAACTATAAAGGATCTGTGCTTTTCAGCAATACTTAATGCCCACGAAGCAAAAACTCAGATAAAGGGTTCAAGCATAAAATCTTATTGAAGAGTAAGAACGCTTTCTATAAACTCAAGACTTCACGTCCAGAAAAAGATGACAACTGCGAACATTTTCCACCAGAGAAAACATCAGACTGAAAAAATGCTTGAACCTTGGTAAACGATTTTGAATCTCAATTATTTTAAAGAAATACAAACAGTTGCACCATTAGGGACCAGTTGTAGTCAAGGCTTTCTGTTAAGAGTTCTGGACAAGAGATGTTTAGAGACAGAGCAAGCCGGTTGGGAGGGAATAACCAGAATTACAGGGAATGGAACCATATGATGATAAAATATCCCAGGAAGAAGAATTGTAGTGAGGGGACTATGAATCCTTATAAAACATGCATAAAGATCTGGGGGTGTATGTCTGACACAGAAAAAGACTTGAGTACATGAAAACAAGGACATGATGTTTACCTGGGAAGACTCAACATTTACACGTCAGTTCTCCCTTAAATAATCCATCAATTTAATTCAGGTCAGTTCAGTCACTCAGTCATGTCCGACTTTTTGCGACCCCATGGACTGCAGCACACCAGCCTCCCTGTCCATCACCAACTCCTGGAGTTTACTCAAACTCATGTCCATTGATTTGGTGATGCCATCCAACCATCCCATCGCCTGTCATCCCCTTCTCCTCTGCCTTCAATCCCTCCCAGCATCAGGGTCTTTTCAAATGAGTCATTTCCTCACATCAGATGGCCAAAGTATTGGAGTTTCAGCTTCAACATCAGTCCTTCCAATGAACACCCAGGACTGATCTTCTTTAGGATGGACTGGTTGGGTCTCCTTGCAGTCCAAGGGACTCTCAAGAGTCTTCTCCAACACCACAGTGCAAAAGCATCAATTCTTCAGTGCTCAGCTTTCTTTATAGTCCAACTCTCACATCCATACATGACTACTGGAAAAACCATAGCCTTGACTAGAAAGACCTTTGTTGGTTAAGTAATGTCTCTGCTTTTTAATATGCTGTCTAGGTTGGTCATAACTTTTCTTCCAAGGAGTAAGCATATTTTAATTTCATGGCTGCAGTCACCATCTGCAGTGATTCTGGAGCCTAAGAAAATAAAGTCTGACACTGTTTCCACTGTTTCCCTATCTATTTGCCATGAAGTGATAGGACCAGATGCCACGATCTTAGTTTTTTGAATGTTGAGTTTTAAATTTAAGTACCAACAAAAAAAACAACAGTATGTTTTAAGAGTAATGATCACTAATACGAACTGCATGCTATGTCAAGTATTTTCTGAGTGTTCTCATCTCTTAAATAGTTGAATCCCTCAATAATCTTATAGTTATTCACTTCCTCATTTTATAGTGAGGAATTTAGGCAGAGTTTAAGCAATTTGTCCAAGGTCACAGAGCCAGTAAGCAGCAGAACTGAGATTCTAACCCAAGGGTTCAGGCTCTAGAACTTAACCATTATCTGTGCTTTCATGTCAATGGAACTGAAGAGTGAGTCTAGACATTGAGTTAAACACAGGAATTCATATGGTATCAAGTGTAGCACTGTGGAACATGGGAGAAAAAGAGGGATAATCATCTGATACATGAAGCTGAGGCACTTATGTGGCCATCTGGAAGCAAATAAAGTTGAACCCTAGCCCACTCTTTACCCCAAAGTATTTTTCAAATGTATTGAAAATTTTAAAATGTAACCATCTGAGGATAATCTGGGTGACTGAATGACAGGAATTGGGGGAAGATACTTAAATTTTATACTATTGGCATTTATTGTCTGTTAAAATTAATTATTTTTAAAAAAGAAAGAAAATAAAGTGGTAGAGCTACCTACAGGGTGTGCGAGAGAGAGTGTGCGTATGTATGTGTGCGCATGTGCATGTGTGTGTGTGTGTGTGTGTGTGTGTGTGTGTTAGTGACGTGAATTAATGCTAGTGCTATTCAGAGCTGTTTCTGAAGGAATAGATCTCTGGGGTTTACTCTACCCAGAAAAATGTGGCTATCTTGTGTCTATGTCTATGTGATGTTTTAGATGGTTCACTTTTCATACTTTCTTATTAACAGTATGAACTTTTCCTCCAGGTTACTGAATGTAGTGTCTGAGTTTCTTAGAGTGAGAGATGGTGCTAGAATTCGGAGCATGCTTTGGGGAAGTTCAGTGTCTGTAAAAAGGCAGTTATGCCAGATTTTCTGAAGTTTACATCCTGGTCTGCAAAAATTGTGCTGAAACAGCAGTCAATGCTGATCACGGTGGACAAGTCTGTGTGCTTTTCCTGACAGCACAAACCCTTCTTTGGGGTTCATTTAAGAGTTCATAAGTAGAACACAACAATTCTGAGTTTATAAATATATATCCAAAAGAAATGACTCAATAAATTTGATGGGTTTCACTGCTATCTCAAGTAAGCTTTAAAGCATCGTTGTTTAGTCAAGTTACAGATTGTTCTCAGCAAAGGAAGCGATGGTTTTTACCCTGCATGGGATATGGAGGCAATGATGAGAAATAAGTTGAATTATTTCCAGTCAAACATTAGTTTTTAGAAATCCGACTGATTGTAAGCTTTAATATTAAATTAATGTTGTCTTTTTATTATGCTTAAGAAATTGTCTGTATGCAACCACCTGGGGCCTCTTCATCAATTATCTGAAAAGGTGCTGCCATTTTTGCCTTGGAGTGAGATGAATTTAGTTTAATTTTATGACTTAATAATAAGGTTTGGTAACTATTTTGGACACTACACACTCAGGTATTTTTCCTCCCACTCTGTTGCCTCTGTACATTGTCCCTCTGTTGGGACTGTTCTCTGCTTTAATATTTTTAAAATTAATTCTTTATTTTGTTGTTCAGTTGCTCAGTTGTGTCTGACTCTTTGAAACCCCATGGACTGCAGCCTGCCAGGCTTCCCTGTCCTTCACTATCTCCTGGAGTTTTCTCAAACTTATCTCCATTGAGTCGATGCTGCCATCTAACCATCTCATCTTCTGTCACCCCCTTCTCCTTCTGCCCTCAATACATAGTTACATATAGAGAGTATGGATAAAATAGACAATGCAAATGATCAAGGAAGAAAAAATACAGAAACAAGTACTCTTAATATTTTACTATGTAGATAAGGGAACCCTATTATATCAATCTTTGTTTTTCACTAATTGAAAAAATTCACATAATACAGGCTAACATGTAGAAAATCAACATAGAATCGGATGAACTTGAAAGTGGAACTCTCCCATCTACTGAGGTAGCTAATATGATTATTCAAATCATTTTCTAAGCAATTGCCAGTATATTTTATATATTCTACATACACATATATGAACACATTTTTTTGTTCAAAAATTTCTATGTGAATTATTCTACAACTTGCTTAAATATATAAATATAATAAAAATAATGTACATGTCTTCATGCTAATGTAGACAGATGTACCCAGTTTCTTTCAAGGTTTGGATAGAATTCTATTCTATATCTATACCCTAATCCTAAGCTACCTAAGTAACTAGCTCTCTGCTGATGAACACTCATGAGGTGCTCTATCCGGTTTTTACTGCTGCAACCCCGCCTCACTGGCTCTCCCCGTGCTTACAGCTTTTGTACAGTGAGCACATGGGAAAACCACCTCCTCTCAAAAACAAATCAAAAGAAAAAAAAGGAGACTATCTGGTTGGACATTAACATTTTTAGTCTCAGAATCTTAAATACTATAATTGTAATGGATGTCCTACTTTCTAATTATTTCAGCTTTAAACTTTTAATCTACTTATATGCTATAGAAAAAACATGTTCAACAAAATCAGATTATTTTCAATACCTCAGAAGTACCCTAAAATATTGAGATAAACACTTTTAATTAAAGTTAATCATTCTCATATTTGTTTAATATATTCCCCTGTACATTATATTGTTTACTGTACTAACTTGCAATTTGAAGGTTCTCATCATAACATTGCTGAAAATCTTGCTCATTTTAGAGTTACCCCTTATTTGAGATTTCCTGTTAAATAATACTTATTGATGAAAACTCAATAAATATATCATTTAAATAGTCTGTATGGGGAATAAAAGAACCCAGGGCTGTAGGTGAATAGTTACTTTATCTGACTATATTAACTATATGCCAAAAGCCTATAGAAAGGAACTTGAAACCTCCTAACTAGTTTCTGTTTGATAAAAATGAAACATTTTTGAATAGATGAAATGGAGACTAATCCTGTTTAATTTTTCATTCTGAATCTTAATTTTTAAGATTTTTTTAAAAAAGAAATGAGCTCTCTAAATTTATTTTCAGTATGTTTTTACCTTTTAAATTTGGGGAAATGGAGTCATTTATTCTCCTGTTGCTTTGCTTATTCAGCAAGGAGAATCAACTCAGCAAAGATGTGACTACAGTATTCAAGATGAATAGTCTCTAAACTCCAGTACTATTCTTTTCTAATTGAAAGTTAGTTTCAATTAAGATATCATTAAACTCACTGGTGACCAACC